GACTAATCAATTCCCGCAAGGCGGACTAAACAAATCTAAAAGACCCACCGACAAGCTCACGGGTAGGGCTAAGAAAAGGCACGGGCCAACTCCAGACCAAGCTCTTGGGTAAAGGAGCTAAGGGTAGCAAGGAGCAGCTGATAAGGTTCTCGACCAAAGGCAACTAAGAGAGGGATCCACTGTCAAAGCCCACAGCCAAGGCCACCAAAAGGGGAGCTGCTAAGGCTCTCGGGAGGGGCAAAGCCCAGAAAAAACAAGCCCCAAACCAGCTTTAAATTATTTGGGGATGAACCTGCACGTATATTTAACTGAGCCAGCCAATAACATGCCAATTTAATGTCAAAATGAGTTCAATAAGTGAGCAAGAACCTGGCGACCCAGGGGCAAAATCGAGAACCTCAACAAGCAAAATCGGGCCCCATGAGAAGCTAAAACCGAGTCGTTACAAAGCCTCAAAATCGATATTTCATGAAACACACTATTTCAAATAGGCAGATCGCAACAAAAGAGCTAAATTGAGGCCTCAAAGCTAAATTACAAAAAAGCTAAATTGAGGCCTCAACAGGCAAAACCGAGCCCCACAAGAAGCTAGAACTAAGTCGTTCAAGGCTAAAACAGAATTCCAACAAAAATTAAGACTCGCATCTCAATAGAGATTAACATCGAGCCATTTCAAGGCAAAATCGAGCATCGAGCCATCCAAAGGTTAAAGAAAAATCCACATGCCTTTAAAACATCAAGATATGGAGCCAATATACTTCTTAAGCAAGAAAAACAACATAGAGAACATATTTGGGCCTCCAAAATACCTATTCTGAGCATGAAATAATTTCTCATAGATATTTAAACAGAGAGGATACCTCACGAGAAGCTAAACCAAGTCGTTAAAACAAGCTACAGGGCTTTCGAAATTAAAGAAATTTTCTCATAGCATGCATTTCAGGCCATGAAAAGCCACAGGGAGCTAAAATCGAGCCTCAATAGAGGCTAAAAAACCAAGCACAACAAGGGCCGGAAAAAAAAAAACGTGGCCTGTAAAGGCTTTAAAGACATGCCAAAGTAGGGGCCAAACTGAACCTTATAAAGGCTCAAAAACAAGAATGAATTTCCAGCTTTTTATCGTGATGATATGCAACAAGAAGTAGATAAGCATGAATCTTCTAGAGCCAACATTCCTTGACATCAAAATGAGTTACCACATTCATTCTAAGCATGGAAAATATAATAACTTCTTTCAACATGTATTTCTAGAGGAGCAAACATGCATTTTAAACTATCAATATAGTCCCAAACATTTTTTTTAAGCAAAGAAAAGAAAAGAGGCAGCCCATATATGTTTCATTTCTCACTAACCCTAGCAAGAATCCATGCTCAAATCTCAAAACAGGCCTATATTTTTACTTCCACATGCTCTTATGGTGAATATCTCAGAATACATGCAAATATATTAGACTAGCATGCTGTACCATCCAACAGAGCTATTCTCAGTGGCTCGGCAGGGAGAAATTGAAAGGAAGCGAGGCGCAGAGGAGGAGAAGTACCTCGTTAATACAGAAACAAAATAAAACCTTAGAAAAATGCTCCACAGCCTAAAATCTTTTCCAACAACAAGAGGAAACTAACCCAAGCAATAGGAACTAAAGAAGAAAGTGAGAAAGAAATTTAGCAGAGTTTCCCTTCCTTTAGAAAATTTTTGCCCCTCTGAAACGCACCAACGAAAGCCTCATATAGACCAAAGAACAGGAGAATGAATGATTAGGAGATCATATACGATTCGAAGGATCGAGAGGATCTGGCGCCCCCATACGGGTGTGCGAGAGGCAGAGGATGAGATTCTCGCAGAGGATGAGATACGATAAGGGATGGGTCGCAGGATCGTCCCGCGTGCGCGAGGCGAGCTCGGGAACGAGACTCCAACGACATGAAGGAGCGGGCCAGGTGGAACCGAGTGAGCCGAAGCTAGGGCAGAGGTCCACGGGCTCAAGCTCAATCAAACAGGACGGCGAAGAGCACGACGGTGTCAAATCAATGCATACAGTCAATCTTAAGGCCAACAGTCCTATAGTGATGCTCCTTGAGTTTCTCCACAGTAGCCTTACCTACTAAGTAATAGCGGTCAAAAAAACCATGTGGGACGTCAAGTCGAGCGAAGAAAAGCTCAGAATTTCTAATGGGGAAGACTCCTTTGCTAGCTTTTTAGGAGTAGTCGACAGGGAAGTCCTACGGCTAGACCCTAGGCTATTAAAGAGGAGAAAAACTACACCTCCGCCAAAAGTGAGGCCAACACACTTTTATGAGACCGATGAATCGGTATTCAGGACTTACATTGGAAAGTTTGTTGTTATGTACTTTGATGACATCCTTGTCTGCAACATATCTGAAGAGATGCACTTGCAACATCTGAGTATGGTCTTTGAGGTTATTTGATTGGAGAAGCTATATGCCCACCCTAAGTAGTGTCACTTCATGATGACACATGTATGTTTTTTGCGAAATATTATATCTGGTGCAGGCATTCAAATAGATCCTATGAAGATAGAGGCTCTTTTGAGTTAGACCCCACAACCGTTTACAAGGCCGAGGCAGTTTTTTGGGGCTATCTTTTTATTGGAGATTCATTAGGAGCTTCAACACCATTACAACTCCCCTAACATAGTTCTTGATAGAAGAGAAGTTTTAGTGAGCAGAGGCCGCTCAATCCAACTTTGACATTCTAAAGAAGAAAGTGACTCAGGCCTCAGTGTTTGCACTACTAGATTTTAGTGAGTTATTCGAGTTGGAATGTGATGCTTCTAATGTGAGGATTGTAGTAGTGTTGAGCCAGGGAGGGCACCCCATAGCCTTCTTTAGTGAGAAGCTGAGTGAGTCCAAGAGCAAGTGTTCGACACATGATAGGGAGTTCTATACTATTTGGAGAGCTCTTAGTCACTGGAGTCACTAATTTTTTTATTTATGTGTTTACTTTAGGCTCTGAGGCTCCTGAAAGCATGCTAAAGAGCATATATGCTTTTTGGTTTGAGTTCGTGGCTTCATTTCAGTTTGTGCTGAAACAAAAGGCAGGAGTCAGAATCGAGTAGCACATGCTTTGAGCCATCGCCACTTACTGATCACCTCCATGCAGGCTAGAGTTATGAATTTCAAGGCAGTGAAGGAGCTGTATGAGACAGATGAGGACTTCATGGAGATCTGGGATAAATATCAAGAGAAGCCTATAGAAAAGTATCTCTTATTTGATGTCTACCTTTTCCATATGAACATTTTGTGTGTTCTCAGATATTCATTAAGAGAGTCCTTCATACAGGAGAGTCGTCGTGAGGGATTATTAAGTCATTTTAGCATGGACATGACTCGGATTTGTGAGTTTTTTTTTTTTTTTTGGCTTAGACTTGCAAGGGATGTAGAGAGGTATGTCAGGTCGTATAGAGATTATTACCTGACAAAAACCAGAGGGCAGATTATAGGGTTATACACACCATTACTAGTACCAGAGGTTCCATGGTTGGATGTTAGTATGAACTTTGTTGTGGGTCTTCCTACGACATTGAAATAAGGATTCAGTGATGGGAGCGGTTGACGGGTTTTTGAAGATGGCTCATTTTGTACTTTATCATAAGACACTGAATGCATCACATGCAGCTGATCTATATTTCAGGGAGATAGTATTTCTGATACGAATGCCAAGTTCCTAGGCCACTTTTGGAAGAATTTATCTTAGAAGTTTGGTAATAAGCTTTAGTTCAACTCAAGAGCCCACCCACAAACAGATGTGATAGAGGTGGTGAAAAGGAGTTTGGGGATTCTCTTGAGGTGTTTTACAGAGAAGTTCAATCAGAGGGATCTAATTCTAGCCCAAACTGAATTTGCTTACAATAGGTTCATAATCCAGACTATAGGACGTATTCTCTTTGAGATTGCGTATGAGCACACTTAAGTTATTACCACTTCTTGCTGCGGAGGTTAGTGTGGATGTTGAGGGCAGAGTGCAGAGATTCAAAGGCCACAGAAGGAGTAGAGAGAGACACTAAGCAAAATCACAAGTATTAAGAGCAAACTAATAAAATCAGGAAGAAAGTGACATTTCGGTAGGGAGATCTTGTGTGGAATAAATTGAAGAAAGAGAGGTTTTCTGTGAGATCTTTTGGAAAACTCAAATCCAAAGTTGATGGACCTGTTAGCACCTCAACAAGCTGAATGAAAACACTTATAGAATTGACTCATCAGGAGATTATAATATTGTTGCTACCTCCACGTGGTTGACATGACTCAATACTATGAGGAGACAGAAGCTTCGACGGATGAGGTCGAAGCTCCCCCTACCCCAACAAATTGATGCAGGTCATTTTATTTACCTAGACATGTTCACTCCAAAGTTATTGAGAGCTGCCAACCCTCTAGCCTTAGTAGTGCTACGTCTTTTTAAGAGGAGATCCACTTCTAATTATCTAGGAATATATATTTGTTTTTTGTCGATTTTTAGGGTTTATTTTTTTAGTGATTTGTTTTAGGCAACCGCTGATATCTCCTTCTTCCTTTACTAGCTGTATCTTAAGGTTCAAGTGGTGCTCCTATCATATTTTTTGTCTTTAGATGATGTTTATCCTTTCTATTCCTTTCCCCCATCATTTTAGACATCACTCCCACATCTCCTATCATTGTTTGCTTGCTGCTGCCATCCATAAAAAAACTTGCTTTTTTCTGCGTCCAACCTGCTGCTGTTGCCTAAGTACAACAACTGTCTTGCTTTCCTCCCTTTCCAGCTTACTAGCCACTTCCTTGCCACCACCCTGAAGGTCCAAGCCCTAACTAACATCACTTACACCCTATGAGTGTACTCCCTAGTATTTTCCATTATTATTTGATTTCATTTTGTTGTATTTTCAATTTCTGGTTTCTATAAAATTAGTAGTGGTTGTGTTGTGTTTCTCCTCACTTTATTTTCATATGATTCCTGTACAAAATGTTTTGTTTTTGGCCCATGCATAAATTTGCTTATCACACAGGTGGGAAGCTGGTCCAAAACCATTCGATGGAATTTGGGCCCCATGGTGGTACAGTAGCGTACACAAATCAATGGGCTTCCAAGCATCACGAGCATATCCAGTGGTATGAATTCTCATTTGTAGGTCATGCTTTAGTTGTGGAGTAATCTTACTATTGGTGATGCGGAAGTTTAGAGTATGTTTCTTTCATTCCGTGTACTATCATCAACCATTTTAATCTCATTTGTTACACCCCTCTCTGTTATAACTTATTAATGAAGACTTTTCTTCCGGAACTCTGGATGCGCAGGGATGATAATTTGAAATTTTTATTAATATATATTTATATATTTATTTGTAAATACATGGTTGATATGTATGCTATCTACCTGCCATACTCTCTTAGTTTATAGGATTGGATCATGGTCTCAGATCATATCGTCTTCTTTCATGTATTTCTTTCAGGTTTTGTAATTTTCCTATGTTTCTTTCATGCTTTGTAAGTTTTAAAATGTTTGTGATCCTCCTTATATTTTTCCGTATAATGCTGTAGACAATAATATCATATTTTCTGAGTTGTATTCCTGTGAGATTATTAACTTTTTTGGAAGTATATTTTTCTCCTGTGCTCACCATTCTTGTTGCAGGACATCAACCATACTTTGGAGATCAAAACTTAATCGTTGATATGCTTTGTAGCTTAGTGTAGCTTAAGGAGACTTAACTTTCTGTTTATAATGTAACTATACATGCAGGCTAACATTTCACTTTCCTTTACTACAATAATCTCGTCTCACATGATTTATTTTCAAAACTTCTATGTTTCTGTTTAGTTTTTTTTCACTCTACCTATTTGTTTCAGCCATTTCCTCTAGCTCTATATGACTTGTTGGAACAAAGTTTGCCATTCTACAAACTGCTTAGACGCCATGTGAGGCTAACTTCTTCTCTGCAACCTCCTTCACCTGCTCCAACTCTTCCAGTCCCTGCCAATGAGAAAATACTTGTCTGGGTAGGTGATGAGCTTGTTCCTCGAGAAGATGCAAAGGTATTTCTACTTTTACTTAATGTCATAGATAGTCCGGCTTACGTATTTTGTCTGAACATTTACTTTTGAAGGTTTCAGTATTTGATTCAGTTGTACAAGGAGGTGATGCAGTTTGGGAGGGACTACGCATTTATGACGGGAAGATCTTTAAGTTAAATGAGCATTTAGACAGGTATTTAGATTGAAATTTTTTTATTGTTGAATAATCTGTAATCTTACTAGCGTTTGATTGCTATGGAAACTTCTTTTTTATTCAGATTGTTTGACTCAGCCAAAGCTTTAGCTTTCCTCAATTTTCCAAGCCATGAAGCGGTCGGAATCTATTTTGTTCTTTGATTATGATTCTAATTTCTTATTATGTCTTAAAAATCTGAATTTGATTAGCTTCAAGGCATCGGATGAAGTGTATCTTTCATTTATTCTTGATATACGTTCTGTTCTAATTATATCTCAGATTAAGGAAGCTATCTTCACAACTCTCAACTCGAATGGCATGCTTGACAATGCTCACATCAGGCTCACTTTAACTCGTGGTAAAAAGGTCATCATGAAATGCTCTCTTATTAACATTCCTGGATCTTCTTTTTAGTATGTAATATTTGAATTAAATGTGCTCGTTTTAAAATGTTTTTAACTTTTTCAATACTTATATCATTCAGGTTACTTCTGGAATGAGTCCAGCATTCAATCTCTATGGATGCACTTTAATAGGTATCCTTAATCAATTTTCTATACCTTGCCTTTTGAATGTTTTTTAAAATTATATCGCCTTAAATTTTGTTCATTAAAAAAAAACTTGAGCAAGCTTGTTTGATAACTATACTATGGATGCTACTTTCTGATTGATGGATTGACAGCTTTACAGAGTTTCTTTGTCCTTATTGTCTCATAATCCAGTGATGATAAATGTTTATATGGTTTGGCTGCAATTTATGTTCAGCTTGATTTTGATTGGATACTGCAGTGCTTGCTGAATGGAAACCGCCTGTTTATGATAATTCCAGAGGCATAAATCTGGTGACTGCCACCACACGTCGCAACTCACCAAATGTAAGTCACTTTTAACTCCTTTAACCAGAATGTATACTTTGCTTCAGGTTCCTGATTGTCGATCAAGGTTTCAACAATTCAAACAATTTAAGAAAATTCATTTGATCAAAACTTTCTTTCGCTTTTTTTTGTTTTTTGTTTTAGGTTTTAGTGCAAATTTTGCAAAAGAAGCCTGAAGTTTTGATAAAAACTCATCCTCATCATTATTAGTCATGCTTCATGATGACTCCTGGTTAAACCTAAGTTTCAACTAATTGAATCGGCCACCAACATTTATTATGGAACTCAACTATTAGAACAGGGATAGTTTCATTTAACTATAGGACTTCTAATAAATATCATATTTCATATATTTAACATTAAATTTTTATCATATACATTAAATGACCACGCTTCCTACTTTACAATCAAACTTAAGCATCAAAATATAAAATAGTTGATTCAACCTTGTATTTTCTGTATTTGAAATATTATTTGAAGTAATATCTTGTGAGCTTTATGGCTAAAAAAAAACTCTAGTATAGATTTCAAAATATCTGGTGTGCTATATGGCATAGTATAGATTTCAAATATCTGGTGTGCTATATGGCAAAAAAAAAAAAACTCATAGTATAGGGTTCAAATAGTCAAGGAAAATAAACATTAGAGTATCTCAATTATGAAACATAAGGGTTAAGATCATAAGCATATTCTATTCTAGTGCATTATGTATAATCATTGCAAAGAATTTTTTTGAAAAATTATACAACATAACATTAAGTGAGACAATCTCATTAAAAGAAATTTAATACATATGTTTTGTGAAACCCCTTAAGTAGATAAAGTCAAACTCTTAAACATCGAGACGTCATTTTGGTGTAACGGTGGAATTTTATTAGGAACTCCAAAGATAAATGTGCTCGTCATGGAACACTCTTAGGATGGGTGATCTCTTGCAAAGTTACACAAACGGGGCAAACCCGTGAGACCATTAGACCAAAGCGGAGAATATTTTGATGGGTGAGAGTTCAGGTTGTCACAAATGTTATCAAAGTATTACACCAGCTAGAAAATGGGAACTAAGTGCTATACAAAGTGCTACGCCATGGGAGCCAACTCTTGAACCCTGGATGGGACAATGTGCTACAGGGTGGGAGTCACCTCTTGAATGTATAGGGGCCACTTGTAGTGTCCATCTACATGGTGGATGATTATGGGTGTAGAGTAATGATTAGGGCATCAGTTACTTAAGTGAGAGATTGTGAAATCCCTTTAGTAGATGACCAAACTCTTAAACATCGAGATGCCTTTTGGTATAGCGGTGAAATTTTATTAGAAACTCCAAAGTTAAGCGTGCTCGCCATAGAAAACTCTTAGGATGTAGACTTCCTGAGAAGTTGTGCCAACTGGACAAAACCATGAGGCCATTAGGCTAAAGTGGACAATACTTTGATGAGTGAGAGTTCGGGCTGTCATATATTTAACGTTTAATAATGATATGCACTACACTAATCAAGACTTATTAACATAAGAGATTAGTCTTTTCATAGTTACCAATTTTAGAACTTCCCTAGTGTTATTTATACTCACATCTTGGAGCATTAGAACAGTATCATTTGATATCAGAGCTTGACAAACCTTAAAATTTTAGGGATGTCTTTCTTGCTCCAAAAATAAAAAAATTCCTCCATCGTACCTCAACCATTATTACCGTGATTTTTATCACAAATTTTCAATCATCCTATCTCCACTAAAAATTTACTCTAACATCTACCGCTGAAACCATAATTTTTTTGATCTATAACTCTACACTTGTCGAAATCTTAATCAAGAGATAATTACATAATGTCCCTTAGAAGAAATCTACAAAGAGTTGTCCAAGAAAATATTATGGAGGATGTGCAGTGTAAAATTCTCCAATTGCAATAAAAGCTAGCTGCCTTTGAAATGAGGCAACTCATAGGGGTCACCTATAGCCACAAAAGTGACTCGCCAGATCGAGAGAAGAAAATGAATTCCTTCCACCATGAAGTCTTCATTGATGAAGAACTAATACTCGATAATTTGGTATTGAATATCAGATAAGAAGCTAGGATTTTATATTAAAAGGTGGATTTATTGGATTTTGACAATTGTCTGGATCCGAATGAGCTCATCATGTGAATCCTGATAATAGAACAAGTCTTTGAGTGCAAGGAAGTTCTGCCAAATAGAAAGATAAAGATAACCTTCATTGAGTTAAGATTGCATCTCTATTGTGAGAAAATTTAAAGCGCCTAATTATCGAGGTATTAGTTCTTCATCACCGAAGACTTCATGGTGGAAGGGATTCACTTCCTTCTCTCGAGTTGGTGAGTCACTTTTGTGGCTATAGGTGACCTTTATGAGTTGTCTCCTTTCAAAGGCAGCCAACGTGAGGGAAAAAAATAAAAGTACTACCGGTCCTCGGTGAAAATGGAGATACAATTCAAGTATCTACCATTTCATTACAGACTGGTCGTATTCTCAAGAATTCATTTACAGCATAAAGATCTCTCAGTAGAGCACACAACAAAGTTCAAACAATTTTTTTCTTAAATTTGAACTAATGGAGCCAGAAGGGAGCATCTTAGCTTGATAATATGGGGGTTGAGATCATCCATTTACAACGTGGTACAATTACAATCTTATTGGACATTATAGGATGTATAGATGCTAGCACTTTAGGTAAAGAGACAACACAATAATATCAGATCCACATTACCCTTCAAATAAGGTTTAGTTATCAGATCGGTCGACAAAAGTATACCCAATGGAGCGCCTAAGACAATTACGCCTAAGGAGAGATCAATCCAGTGTAGAGAAAAGGTGGAGCCCAACTAAGTTAATTTTAGGTTTGTTTGACCTACAACTCACTTCCTAGGTTGCCACTACTAAGGTATGTCCAACATTTCATCACTTTAGATTGAGACGAGAAATATCTGGGCTTTTTTTTGGAAGATTATGGAATATACTAAGTCCTAAGCTATAATTCAGTTCAACAACACACCCATAGATGGATGACTAGAAGTGCATGGTGAACCGTAGCTTTGAAAATATTCTTAGTTGTTTTGGTAAAATGAACAACCAACAATGAGATTTAGGTACTTTTGGAAAAGAAAGCAAAGCCTTCCCCACCCAAGGAGAATGACACAGGAGCTCTCTCGCAAAACCGTAGATTGTGGATCTCACGATTGCAGGGTCTATAACACTCAAAATTTGAGAAACAGGTAAAGTTAGATAATTTTAAAAATGTATCCCAAATTTTGCATTCCCCGAAATTCAATCGAAGTAATTTTATAAAATTTTATGCATTAAATCGATCAATTTGATATATATAACTATATTTGAATTATGAATGAAATAAGAGATATAAAAATAATAAGATGTTAAGTTAATTATTTTGATTAACCTTAATTAAAATCCTAATCTCCCGCACCTTAATTGTTCACATCCGACTCTCTCGTACTTCCTCACGCATGCAAATGTCTGATGAGATCGAACGACTAAGAAGTAAATAGGACAATGTTAAAATGTTGTGCTCCCTCATTCTCCCCTCTCCCTGTTCTCTTTTTTGCGGATTGAATAGCTCACGCGATCTGGGTACTGTGACCGTGCAAACTGAGTGATCTGCTGAATGTCGCAGCTAGCGGCCGAGTTCCGGGAAGAAATCTAAAGGTACGAAACTCATTTTAGCGATATTTGTGACATTCTTTTCCTTCACGTTTCTATTTTGGCGCATGCCACAAATTGTTGCACTTTTTCGTTTCCGATAGTTGTAACAGAGATGAACTTGTGTCGGAAGAAAAAAATTCTTTTAGCGCTAAATCAGTCAAGTAATGGGATGATTAAAGGAATAGAAAGAAGAATAATCGACATGATCAGAGAAGGGCTATTTATGTCAAGAATTCCTTTTGTGGTAACAATTTGTAAATGAATTATATTTTGGGTTAAATCACAAAGTAAGCTAAGTTTTCATGAAATCCTAAGATGTTGATGAATTTCGGGTTGTTTACACTAGGCGGCGGGCTGAAGATGAGCTTGGGGAATTTGTCGTAGGGCTGCACTATAGATTCAGGTGAAATAATCATGTGTGAATTTAAGAAGAATAAATCTCTTTAGATTTTCATGTTATTTTATGTTTGAAACTATTGCATTAATGCATATTGTGGATGAATAAGTGCATTGATTGTATTAATTTCGATTGACTGCCCCTTATAATACATGTGATTTTACTATGCTATGAATCTGATGAATATGCTTATGAAATCATTGTTTGTAAGTATTCATTTGCTATGATATTTGAAACGCCAATGATAAATGTTTGTTACACAGGAATTATATTTTAAAAAATGTCACAAGTGATGTTATATGTATGTTATTACATGAATACTTGCAACTACAAATGATAGAGATCGATGAACTTCCTTACTCCTGGTATTCAGACAGTGATGAAACTTGGAGAAATGTTGGGATCAGACTGCGACGGAACGTAGTGAATCATTAGTACGAAGGGGCTATTGATAACTGCTTTAAGAAAGCCACATCAACATGCTACAATTTGCTCTAAGAAAATTACATGGATCAAACAATCATTTCACAACATAAATTCAAGTAAAAAAACTTAGTTTCTAGGCATCGATACAGAGCACACAAGAAATTTCTTTGATAGAAAATCACAGTTTACAAAAACCAAAGAGAAGAATAAACCCGAATCAAATTTCCTTATGCTCCGAGCTAATCTCCTTCTACATTATGCTTTGCCCTTGGACTTCCTCTCAATATTCTCAAAGCAACATCCATTACACTCATACACACACTCCTCAAGCACCCTCTATTGTTCCCCGTGTTCTCCAAACTCTCCTCCCATCTTCAGATCGCTTGTTTGGCCTCCCTCTTCAACCAAACCGTCACTTGAACTGCAAAATCGCCCAATGTCGATAAGGGGCGTCGAGGAGCTGAGTGGATTATGTCGGGATGTTGTGGTTGGGTGTTGCGGCGAT